AGAAATCTAAAGTAAGATTATAACTGTAGGTTTAAATTCCCATAATTGTAATGGTATTTGGAATGATTAATATAATTAGTAGGTTTGCTTGATGAAGTTTGTGGATGGAGATAGGTTCATTAATGAAAATTGGGGAATGATTGAGCAAATATTAGACTCGTTATCATTATGGTATACCAATCACCATCAACGAAAAGGACTATACCGCCATTCTCATTCCCCACTCCCCCACTCCCCCCAACCAAGCACCTTCTAGGATTAGATGATGTCATTATGTAACAGTATGGATGTAGTTTGAGCAATTACTTCTGTACGACCAGGCATAATAGGCTTCCCCGCCAATAGTTCTGCTAAAATACACCCTGCACTCCATAAATCAATACCCACTCCATAATCACTTGCGCCCAAAAGAAGCTCAGGTGGTCTATACCAGAGTGTGACCACTCTACTAGTCATATGGTGCTTATGGCTAGGATCAAATATAGTAGCCAGCCCAAAATCAGCTATTCTGAGTATCCCTGAATTGTCCAGCAAAAGATTTGACCCTTTAATGTCACGGTGGAGCACGTGACGATTGTGACAGTGCTCAAGTCCTGACAATAGCTGGTGCATATAGCATTTCACCTACAAGAAATAGCAACTACTTCAAGTAACAACTACTTCCAATATTTTATAAATATAACCAAGAAACAAAGTGCATAAGACTGGTATATTTTACAGAATGCAAAGTCACACATCACTCTAACCTGGGCTTCAGAAAACTTGATATCTGGACTTGCAGCAAGTCCAGCCAAGTCATGCTCCATATACTCAAATACAAGGTAGAGACTGCATGACATTCTTGATGTAACCAAACCTTCTAATTTAATAACATTGGGGTGATCAAGACGTCGCAGAATGATTATTTCTCTTGCCATGAATCGCACGCTCTCAGGTTCTAAATTGTCAAAGCGGACTTTCTTTAAAGCAACAATTTTTCCAGTTATAGTGTCCCTTGCTTTATACACATTACTGTAAGTTCCTTGCCCAATCTAAGACCACAAAGGCATCAATCAATGAACACATTAATGAAGTAAAAGCATTGTAAAAACCAATTGCAAAAGAAACAAAAAATTAGAATTAAAATTAAAATGCCCAACTCAAATCCTACCTTATCAATTTTCTCAAAAGTGTCAGCGCGTCGAGGAAGCCAACCCTCAATTGCTTCCCCAACATGAGCTGAAAGCCACGATGGCCATCCAGCAGCAACTTGTTCACCATGTTTGTGCTTAGGTGGATTACTCAACCTTGGGTTAGGCTTAGACCTCCTCTTATCAGCCTTTGATCTTCCATCAACATCTATCTTTTCATCCTTCCTAGTCAAATCATCAACATCTTTAACTTCAGCAGAATCATTTACTTCATCCACCTTCTTGACCCCTGAAACCTCGTCAGTCTCAGTAGACTCAAAACTTGTATTCTTACTCTTGTCATAGTTCTCAACTCTCCTATCTCCCTTTGCTCCAGATACTATGCCAGACGAGATTTCCCGGCCCAAAACACACCCCATATCTCAAGTCCACAGTTTATGCCTCAACATTCCCCTGTAATCTCTGCAAAATCATGGCAAAATGCCAGAGTCAAACTACAACCCAATATTCATTCTGCCCGAGAGAATTGCACATATAAACAAATGATCTAAAAAGTAACCAGTGGATGGAGCCAATTAAAAAAAAGTAGTTCAAAAGAAGAAACAGGGAAGATCTGAAAGGTACGGATTCCCTCATTGACCAACCAGCTATCAAACCAATTAAAGGGAAGAGTGTAGAACCAATTCAAATAAAGTAGCAGATCAAAAACCCTAACTTGCAAACGAGGAACTAACATAAATATGTATGTGTTTGTGCGCGCGCGCGAGTGTACACACGCAGTAGTTTACATACACAGACAGAGTAAAAGACAGAAAGAAAAGCTACTGAGCTGACTTGATCAGGGTGGAGAGCAGAAGATGAAGGAGGAGGAAAAAGAGAAATGGCTGTCTGCAACTTCAACTCTACAATGTTTCCAGGAAGAAAAAATGAAGTCCTCTTTTGAGGCTAAACAGACTGAAAAATTGGAAATAATTGAAAGAATCCGAATGAACCGAAACGAATTGGGAAGAACGCAAAGAATGGGAAAGAAAACATTTGACAAGTCACAAAGAATTGGGGAAAAATTAGAAAAAGTGAAAGAAAACTAAACAAATTTAAATTTTTTGTGTCTCACCATTTTTTTCTCAAGTCATATTCAATACTTTTTTTTATCCAAATTCAATTTCTTGTTTATTTTTTTACAAAATTTTAAAAATAATAGTATACTCGGGGTATTTGTCAACTTGAATTTCAAATCTAGATTTGATCCAAATTACTTGTTTGAGAACTCAAAAAAAATGGATTTGGATATAGACCAAGTTTTTCTAATTTAAAATTAAGCTACTTACAAATCCACATCTCTCCAAATGTCATTTACAAATTCAAGTTCAACTTTTTTTAATTTATAACTTCTAATTAAAGAGTGATCTCTCTTTATTCAACAACAATCTCATACATATTAATTGGCTCCCGTTACCGTCTTTGTCAACTTCAAAATTCAAATTTTAGAAATAAAATTTGATGATTTCCCAAACAATGTTTGGAATTTGAAATTATGAGATTTCAAATATTGGAATTGAAATCTCAAATGATTTCTAATTTACAAAAATTATTTGGTTGACATTTGTGACACTACTACAAAAACGAACAAATAAATCGTCCTATTTGCATCGGTTAGCGGAATAAACGATTTAAAAACTAAAAAATGCCAACCGCTTAGCATTTAAATCGGTTATTCCAAATACCCGATGCAAAAGGTTATTATTTGCATTGGTTACTAGGAATAACCGATTAAAATGCTGAAACCCTTTTAAATCGGTTATTCCTAATAACCGATGCAAATAACCTTTTGCATCGGTTATTAGGAATAACCGATGCAAAAAAGGACTGTTAAATCCATCCTCTGAAACATTACCCATACGCGATTTTGGAAAAAAAACCTCCAAAGCTTTTGCTGTCAACCCTTCGCCGCCATCCCTTTGTCGTGCCTCGCATCCAAAGCTTTTGCCGCCATCCCTTCGTCATACCTCGCATCGCCATGCCTCTCCTCGTCGTGCTGTCAACGTGCCTCGCCTCGTCATCGCTCCTCTACCCCTGCTCGAGTCTCACCGGTCGTCGCCGGTCGCTGCCGTCTTCCCTTCACATTTTTAAGGTATTTTTTTTAATATTTCACTTTAAATTTTTAATTATACTATTATTTATTTATATATTTTTGTATTAGGTGAATATTTTTTATTCCAAGTGGTAAATATAATTTTAAATTTATTTCAATGTATTTTCTTTAATTACTATATATTTGAATTGCTTTTGTGTTTATATTTAAGTTGAAATGTGACATTGTGATATAGATTGTGTTTGAAATATAGATTGTTTAATTACTTTTTGTTTGATTCTACATGATCTGAGATGTTATAATATAGAAATAACATATATTGACTGACCTAGATACCCGTTTAAAATTTACTCATTAGGAGTAAATTTTAAATAGCTTCCGGTTTGGAGCTGTTCTTGAAATGCTTCTCTCACTTAGGTAGTGAATGTATTTCGTTTTCTTTGTTCTATCATTTTTTTGGTTCGACGTTTCATAAATGTTTTCTTCAGGTGCATATGTAAATACATTACATCAGGCACTTGGAGAACCTGTAACACCCTAACCCGTCCAGGCCTCCAACCCCTTTCGAACTAAAGTATAAACTTGGTATTCGTAAACATTCAAAATATTTCAAACATTTACAAACTTTATTTCATAATAAATTATTTAGAATAATAACGGAGTATTTAAAGTTGTGGAAGCTTAATAAATCACAATTACAAACATAATAAATTTATGTCTTTTAGAACAGTAATTAAAATTACATATCCATCCCAACCATCTCGCCCCATCTGCCTCCAGGAATTAATCACTTCATTCTTTTTGTTTACCTGCGTGTAGCAAATAAAACATACTACACTCTCAGTAGTAAAGTTGAGTAAGGATATATAATGCATCGAACATCCATATAAATTGAACCTCAATTCATAATCAAATCATTTGATATCATGCACATAATATTCAGTTCACATATTCAACATTCAACACTCATATTTAATAGTGCTCTCAAACTCATCCTTAGTCTAAGTCATATTTCTTGATGTTTACCAACTCTTAAACTATTTTTAGTTTAAGGTATTTCTAACCAACTCTAAAACTATATTCTAGTTTAAAGTACTCCTAACCAACTCTTAAGCTAGTGTAGTTTAAAGTATAATTTTCAAAAAAGTTTTCCAACTCTTGAGGTACACCAGAAACCGAATACTGGAATGCTCATTGTCAGGTTGGGTGGTATCCACAAACGAGTGATCCTCAAATTTGGTTTGCGGATCCCGTACGTATGTTTTTACCTAGGCCACCAAGTATTCATATTTATACCCACAAGGCCTATTCTAATCTCAGGTCTATCATAGAGGTCTTCCAGATAGCCTTAACAATACAATTCATTTCTTATCAATCCATTTATTTTGAATCATAGTTTAACATTTCGTAATCATCATTTTATTCAGAATATTCATCAAAGCTTAATCATCATAATCATTAATCAATAATATTCATCATAATCATCAATCAATAATAATCATCATAATATCCAATAACAAATAGCGGCCTAGCGTCGAGTGTTAACACCCTAGCTTACCGTCATGCATCAAACAAGGCTCTTGAATTTGTCAAAACATCACATTTATTTGCATAAATCATATTTACATTGATAATAATTGATTGATATCAAAAATAGGATTTTATAACTTCAAAAATAGCATTTTCAAACTTTAAAATGTATCCGTCAGCTCGGGTGATCAATCCACCCCAAGTGATCGATCCACCCTAGGTGATCGGTCACCCAAAGGAATTCCGTTACTATTTATCGTCTTCTTCCTCGAGTCCATTTTCTAAAATACCATTTTTAGTCACCAAACATCAATTAAACTATATAGAAATGTTCTCCAAGGTTCATAGATCATTTTGGTATCATTAGTTCGTAGTTTTAACAACAATTTCAAGGTTTATGATTCTTGGTTTTTGAAACATGTCAAACACAAAACTCAACCAAACAACCATTTATGAACGTAGAAACGATCTATACGAACAATCTAGTCACTAGATATATCTAAGGGCTTACCTCGAGCTAAAATGAAGGTTTTGAGAATTTTCCGTGAAACTTCCGGCGACGAATAACTCCCAACCATAGGACCTCTCACCAAATTGACAGCACCACTGCGTTCTCCTCACTCAGAGCAACAGAATAGAAGAAGAAATTATGAAGAATGGTGAAGAAATGAAGGAGTTGGAGTGGCTTATATAGGAAGAAGATGAAGAAGCTGCCAATGGTGATGTCTCCGTTTCCTGTTCGTGCGGCTGAGTGGGGAAGGAGGTGATCCTTTGCAGTATTATACGCCTCTCTCTGATTAGGACTAATTTTGTCCTAGTCGGAGTACACTTTTTGGTCCAACTTTCTCCGAATTAAAATCTGATTGAACCATTGCAGTCATACAGTCAAACTCTACACAACAATATAACTTTCAATATTTATTGACAAACTTTATAAATCACTTATTTTTGAGTCCTTCTTAGTAATTAATTATTAATTAATCAATTCTGATAGGCCTATTTTTAGGGTGTTACAGAACCATTGGGAAATGATGCCGAAATTTTGTTAGATCAAAGAAAATACATTTACTAGTGAGGGTGATATTTCAAGAATGAGTTAGGATGGAGTAAAGAAAGACCATCTGTATGATGAAAAATGTTGCCGGATTTTGGTTACATCATAAGAAAAAGATATTGTGTTTTTTGTATTTCTTATATATATGTGTATATATATAAAATGAGTATTAAAAATTTTGTTGTGCATTGTTTTGTATCCAATCATTTGCCGCTCTTTCTTGCCTAGCAATTCACATGATGGATCGAAGTTGGATTCATATGCTGCGTACATCACTTGAGTTTAGTTCTGGTTTAGAAGAGTTTATTTGTTTCGTAGAGAAACATTCAAAAGAAAGACTCTAACCCACTCCCTAAACTCCCACCCTACCCCCTCCCCCGCACCCCGTCCCAACCGCACCGTAAGCCCCCCACAAAATGTGTGACTATTACATATGATGGCTATAAACCACCAAGAGTATGAAATAATATAAGTTTTAGAGAGAGAGAGAGAATGCAAAGTAGGAGTATATTGATTCAAATTCGGATCCATTACAATGAGGGGTGCTACCCCTTTTATAGGGGGTACAATACACTAAGTCAAAGCCCTCTGATCGAGGCTCGTCGTTTAGCGGACGTCACCTGTCCTTAGGTCTTGTCCTTTTCATCCTATCGCTTTCATCAAGTCTTCGTTGAACGTCGCTTTCCTCACGTCGTTGTCGCGGGGTTCGGGCTCGGCTTGGTTGGCCGAGCCGAGCAGGAGGGACGAGCGGAGCNCGGGAACCCAGCCTTTGTGAATGTGGCATTCCCTCTCAAGCCTTCGTTTTTGTGGGAGCCGCGCTGTTTCCTGCAGAGCTTCATCCCACCACCGGACCGAATGGATATTTGTTCGTCCGCCACAGAGGACCTTGCCTCCACCCGTATGCTCGAGGTTGGCTCGGTAAGTGTTTCACTTTAGTTCGGGTGCTTTTCCTGCCCGATACTTAAACAAATTTGCCATTGTTGAAGGTGGCCATCCGCATCCCGGAACTGGTGGAGCGCATGGAGTGGTATGTGGCGAAGAAGGCCAAGGGCGAAGAGGAGCTTCGGAGGCTGCAGGAGCCTGCGGCCGACTTTGAGGGGAAGATCGCTGAGGCGGAGGAGCGTGCTTGGGCTTCGGAGGAGCGGGCTCGGGCTGCAGAGCAGGCTCGCATCGCCGCTGAGGAGAAGGCGCGCTGCCTTGATGAGGAGGCCGAGCACATGATCAAGGCCTTTCAGACTTCCCTTGCGTTCGAGGAGGCGGCTCTCTCCCGCATGAACAATCTCTTGAAGGTCTGGGCTCAAACCCCCGACGGCCAGCGTCTCCTTCTCAAAGAGGGGCAAGCCAATTACTCCATGGGTTTGCACAGGGCTCAAGAAGTCTTGCTAGAGTGGATCAGAGATGGGAAGGAACTCCCGAAGCCGTGCGAGAACCCTGAGGAGTTTGATTCCTCCATCTACTACTCTGATGATGAGGACGGTGCTGGAGGGGGTGAGGACACAGCCAGAAATTAAGCGTGCTTGGGCCCAACACTAAACTCCACCCTTTTCTTTTCAATGTAATGTTTTTGTGCTCGAACAATATGTTTCGTATCGCGCGACTATTATCTTTGACTCTTCATGGTTTGTGATGCCTTTATCGTCTTGCTTTGATTCTTAATCGCATTTCCTTGAATAAGTTTTGAAGTCGGAACGGCCGTTTGATGAAGTGCTTGCGCTTGCTTATGCGAGGCCGTGCTCACGCTTGGGCTCGCTTTGCCAAAGACGTGCTCGACTCGTCTCGTTGCCTAACCGAGGACGAGCGCGGGCTCGCCTTATCCACGTGGCGCTCTGCCCAAACCTTGGCCTTGGTGCCTTTGCCCTCCAGCCCAACGGGTTCCACCCTTGGGACTTGATGCCTTTTGCTTGACCCCTGCGCTTCCTTTGATCAACTCGGTACCCGAGGCGACCTTGTAAGGCGTTCGCGCCGTGCACTAGCCCCTTTTTCAGGGATGAGTAAAATTTGAATTTGATTTTATGTCTCATTTTTAGTCATTATTTTTGAGCGTGAGTGTTTGGCCTCCATCCAGGAAGAACATCCGGGTATGGTCTACGCTCGGTTTTCCTCCCGAGTAGGAGTGCCAAGCCCAAATGTTTGACCTCCATCTGGGAAGAACATCCGGGTATGGTCTGCGCTCGGTTTTCCTCCTGAGGAAGAGGGCCGAGCGCAAGTGTTTGACCTCCATCCGGGAAGAACATCCGGGTATGGCCTGCGCTTGACTTCCCTCCCCAACGAGGAGCGCCGAGCGCGAGTGTTTGACCTCCATCCGGGAAGAACATCCGGGCATGGTCTGCGCTCGGTTTCCCTCCTCGTGGAGGAGCGCCGAGCGCGAGTGTTTGACCTCCATCCGGGAAGAACATCCGGGTATGGCCTGCGCTCGGCCTTCCTTCCGAAAAGGAGCGCCGAGCGCGAGTGTTTGACCTCCATCCGGGAAGAACATCCGGGTATGGCCTGCGCTCGGCTTCCCTCCCCGAGGAGGAGCACCGAGCGCGAGTGTTTGACCTTCATCCGGGAAGAACATCCGGGTATGGCCTGCCCTCGGCTTCCCTCCCCGAGGAGGAGCGCCGAGCACGAGTGTTTGACCTTCATCCAGGAAGAACATCCGGGTATGGCCTGCGCTCAGCTTCCCTCCCCGAGGAGGAGCGCCGAGCACGAGTGTTTGACCTTCATCCGGGAAGAACATCCGGGTATGGCCTACGCTCAGCTTCCCTCCCCGAGGAGGAGCGCCGAGCGCGAGTGTTTGACCTTCATCCGGGAAGAACATCCGAGTATGGCCTGCACTCGGCTTCCCTCCTAGGGAGGAGCGTCGAGCGCGAATGTTTGACCTTCATCCGGGAAGAACATCCGGGTATGGCCTGCGCTTGACTTCCCTCCCCAAAGAGGAGCGCCAAGCGCGAGTGTTTGACCTCCATCCGGGAAGAACATCCGGGTATGGCCTGCGCTTGACTTCCCTCCCCAAGGAGGAGCGCCAAGCGCGAGTGTTTGACCTCCATCCGGGTATGGCCTGCGCTCGGTTTCCCTCCTCGAGGAGGAGCGCCGAGCGCGAGTGTTCGACCTCCATCCGGGAAGAACATCCAGGTATGGTCTGCGCTCGGCCTTCCTTCCGAGGAGGAGCGCCATCCTTCAAGAAGGCGACTATGTCGTCCATCCAATCTCTTGGCCGAGCACAAATCATTGCCACAGGGGAAGCATGGATGCTCGCCTCGGACAGCTCTTCCACGTTCCCCATTCGCCTGATGTGCTCAAGCGTGTCCGAGCTCATCTTCGACAAGATATCCGCCTCGGCATTCTCCACCCGAGGGATCAACTCCACACTATACGCGGTGAAACTCTTAAGTAACTCTAGAGCGGTATCTTTGTACTTCTTCATTCTTTCGTCCTTTGCCTCGAACTCTCCCGAGGCGTGGCCAACCACCAGCTTTGAATCACACTTTACCCTTAGCTTTGTTGCGTTCATCCCGGCTGCTAGGCGTAGCCCGCACAGGAGCGCTTCATATTCCGCTTCATTGTTTGATGCCTTGAAACCGAATCGAATTGAGTAGTATGCTCTGAAGCCTTCGGGAGCGATGACTACCACTCCACCCCCCGAGTTTTTGGTGGCGGAGGAGCCGTCGGTAAAAACTATCCACCAGTCATCAGCTTCCGGCTCTTCCGGGCTCGGCTCCTCCCGAGCGGTGCACTTTACCACGAAGTCAGCTAGCGCTTGACCCTTGATCGCTGGCCTTGGCCTGAATTCAATCTGGAAAGCTCCAAGGAACACCGCCCACTCAGACATGCGCAAGGGGGCGTTCGGGCTCCTGAGCATCGCACCAATGGGTTGTTGGGAGAGCACTTGAATCGGGTGAGCTTGGAAGTAGGGTGTTAGCCGCTACACGGTTGAAACCACGGCCAAGACCGTCTTTTCGGCTACTGAGTACCTGAGCTCAGCACCCCTCAGCGTCTTCGCCGTATAATACACCGGGTGCTGAGCTCCACCTTCGTCTCGGACTAGGACCGAGCTCAAAGCTTTGGGTGAAACTCCCAAGTATAAGTACAACGTCTCCCCCGCTTCGGGCTTCGCGAGAACCGGAGGAGAGAGGAGGTAGGACTTGAGGGATTCAAAGGATTGTTGGCATTCTTTCGTCCATACGAACCCTCGGGACTTCTTCACAGCTTGGAAGAACGGAGCGGTTCGGTCCGCTACCTTGGAAAGGAAGCGACTGAGCGCAGCCAACTTACCGGTCAAGCGCTGCACCTCCTTGACATCTCGTGGAGCTTCCATGTCAAGGATGGCGCGCACCTTCTCAGGGTTGGGCTCAATACCGCGCCTGCTCACCATATGTCCCAAGAATTTGCCGCCTTGAACTCCGAACGTGCACTTCTTCGGATTCAGCCGAAGGTTGTACTTCTCCATAATCTTGAAAACTCCCTCTAAGTCTTCCGCATGGGTGGTCTCCTGCTTGCTCTTCACAATCATGTTGTCGATGTATGCTTCCATGCTCTTCCCGAGGACGGGCGCAAAGAGCTTGCTCCGAGGGTCGAGCAACACCTCCTCGACCTCCTCAGCGGGATCGGCCTTCGGTCGTGCTTCCAGCTTCCGCAATTCTTCTTGTGCATGCACGACCAACGTCTCATCCCTCGGCAACTTCTTTGTGATTCGGACATAGCACGATCAAGCTAACTTTTGGTCTCCCCTCGCCACCCTGATTCCCGAAGGAGTGGGGAACTTCATGCACAAGTAGTATGGGGAGATCACACATTCCAAGTCCTCGAGGCCGGGCCGTCCTAGGATCATGTTGTGCGTGCAGCTGATGCTCACAACCATGAACTCCATCTTCAACTTGGCCTTGTGCGCACCATCCCCTACTATAACGGGCACGGTGATGACTCCTTCGGCCTCGATGGACTCCCCTGTGAACCCGGAGAGAGGAGTGCGCACGGGCCTTAAGTCCTTGCGGTCCAAGCCGAGGTCTTGAAAGGTCTTCTCATACATTATGTTGACCGAGCTTCCCGTGTCCACCAAGGTGCGGTGCACTATGGCGTTGTTGATTTCTATCCTCACGACTAAGGCATCCCGGTGGGGGCTTGGCGTGTTCGGAAGATTCTTCTCTGTGAATTGGATTTGCTCTCGTCTTCCGAGCTTGGGCGCCGGCGCCTGTTGGACCTTGGCGACGAAGGCCATGTGCTTCCACTTCTTCCTTTGAGCGGCGGGATCCCCGTCGATATTTCCTCCATGGATGAACCCCACCGGATATCCTTGGGCTTCGTCCTCGTCTAGATCATCACACTCTCGCCCAATGTGCCTCTTCTCGGGGTTCCTCGCTTGCGTGGCCACCGCGACCGGCTCGGTCGGCTTCCTCCACGTTCTCCCTTCCGGTGGGCCCCGGGAAGGGGCTGCTCCATTGTCTCGCGAAGCCGGCCCTCGGGCGATGAGTCGCTGCATCTCCTTCTGAAGAGTGAAGCATTCCTTAGTGTTATGAGTGTTGTTGCGATGATACTCGCAATACTTGGCGCCGCTGAACACCGCATAGGTCTCTACGTGCGGGAGCGGGGAGAGGGCCAGCTCTCGACCCGTCCCTACGGACGCACCCACGGAATACACACCCACCGAGGGCGTCCTCGGGCCCACAGTGTAGCCTTTCTTCTTCTTCCTCTTCTTCGCTATCTCCTCTGAATCTGTGGGGGCTCGCTTGGCCGGCGCGGCCTCGGAATCGGGGGCATCATCGAATTCCTCCGAGGCCAAGAACTTAGCGCGCGCCAAGGTTTCTTGGTACGTGGGGGGAGGATTCCTGCGGAGCTCCTTCCTCACCTCACCGCGGGGAAGGGCTGCTTGGAACATGGCCACCAAAGCTTGGTCATCCGCCCCGTGCACGTCTCTGGCTTCCTTCTCCCACCGAGTTATGAAGTCGCGGATCTTCTCTCCTTTACGGATGCAGATGTTGAGCAGATGGGAGTAAGGTAGCCTCTGCCTTCGGTTGGCTGCGAAATGCGTCAAGAACTTCTCCGCTAGCGTATCCCAATCGTCAATGGTTCCCTTTGGGAGCCGGTTGAACCAATCGCACGCGGAGCCCTCTAGCGTCGCGAGAAAGCATCGGCACTTGACCTCGTCCGGGGCTGCCGCCGCTTCCATAGAAGCATAGAACTTAGACAAATGATCTTGGGGGTCCGTCGTTCCGTTGTAGGCCTTGATCTGCCACGGCCGAAAGTTTGCCGGCAGCGGAACCGACATTACCCTCGGAGTGAACGGGGTTACCGTCTGCAAGATGGGCTGGCTGTAGGGAGCCCTGGTCTCCACTCGGCGCTTGAGCTCGGCAATCTCACGAGCGAGCCGAGATACTGGTCGGAGACCTTTGTCTTCTCAGTTCTTCTTGGACTATGGCGACGATGGGTGCACTCGTTCCACCTTTTTCCGCTCCGCTCGGGCCTCGCCGAGCGAGCATCCGACGTCGCGGACTCCTCCGCATGCCTCCGCCTGCCTTCGGTTATTTGTTGACGGAGGTCGCCCGGGTGACCTTCCGGCCCGCGATCGAGCCTGTCGAAGGCCGACACCCGGGTCTCTTCACCTCCTAAGCGCCTGAAGGCCGACACTCGGCACTCGCTGGACTCATCGTCTTCCCCTTCGGGAACGTCCTCCACTATCACCTTCTCGAACACCTGGGCTTTGCCGGGCCTCCTTCTACTCCTCCGGGTCTTCTTCCCCTTGTGTTAGGAAGTGGCAGCGTGTTCGGCATGGAGACCGGGCAGAGCTTTGCCAACTCCAGCGCCGGGCACGTTCCCACCCACGGCGGAAAGTGCCGCAACGGCTGCCTGGAGCTGCTCCGCGGTCACCCCCAAGCCGAACAGCGCCTGGACCGCGTCCGGAGTCGAGCCGATGCCGCCCGTACCGTTGCCGCTGCCCGGCGCGTTCTCCTCGCCAACGACGTGGCTGGTGGTGGGGACGTTGCTCCTTGTTTGCACCATTCTCGCGTTTGGGAGTTAACCTACGAGTATGTTCCTCTGCTCTCAATGAAAGCACCAATTTGATGGCTATAAACCACCAAGAGTATGAAATAATATAAGTTTTAGAGAGAGAGAGAGAATGCAAAGTAGGAGTATATTGATTCAAATTCGGATCCATTACAATGAGGGGTGCTACCCCTTTTATAGGGGGTACAATACACTAAGTCAAAGCCCTCTGATCGAGGCTCGTCGTTTAGCGGACGTCACCTGTCCTTAGGTCTTGTCCTTTTCATCCTATCGCTTTCATCAAGTCTTCGTTGAACGTCGCTTTCCTCACGTCGTTGTCGCGGGGTTCGGGCTCGGCTTGGTTGGCCGAGCCGAGCAGGAGGGACGAGCGGAGCACAGGGCCGGGCAGGAAGACGAGCAGAGCTCTGAGCCGGGCAGGAAGACGAGCGGAGCTCTGAGCCGGACAGGAACGTCCAAGCCCGATACTTAGGAAATTTATGTTGCGTGGGGTTATTCCCCATCAACATAATAGCCACACATTTTGTGGGGGGCTTACAGTGAGGTTGGGGCAGGGGTGCGGGGGGGGGATAAGGTGGGATATTTAGGGGTTGAGTTAGGGGTAGAAATCGTTAATTTTACTAACAGAGTAACAGAAGTGCTCCAAAATAATAATGGTACCAAGTGTTACCTTATTTAGTTGTCACTTAATCCCACGGATATATCATTGAAGGTAGCATATTGTAGCCAAAGGCAAGGACGAAACCCTAGGTCGAGCCAGAGAGAAGAGAGACATGGATTCTGCCCATCGGAATTCTGGAATGGAGAAAAAAAATCCTCGACCCACGGCGGCAAGATGCATCTCCATGAAAATCAAACTTCGTCATACCGTGTTAAGCCCGGCCTGCCTATGAGGGGGACATCAAAAGGAACGGAGAATATAGATTCCTCTACCCACGACCCAAAACCTGAAAAAGAGCAAGTAGTCTACAGCGAGGAGGGAGGCTTAAACGGATTGCCATCATCTTCAAAAATCTGTCGGATCAACCTTGAGGCAGTCTCTCAACACGTACGGAAATCAGGAAACGCCAAAAGAGCAATGACCCTATCATGCAAAGCTGCATCCAGTTTTGAACCAGTTTTGAATCCAACAATGGTGCAAAATCTGAAGATGAAGATATCACCATCCTTTTCCGTTTGCATCGACAAATCCTTGATGTTACAAAAGACGATGTAACCCTTGAAGACAAGTGGTTTTCTATTTTAGCACAGCACGCGTCTCCCCGTAAAGATAAAGATAAATTCCACCCCCCTATCACTAAGGAGCCATATCTCCAATATTTAGAATTTTGTCCTTCTCCTCCATTTGCCGTAGGGCCTTATTTATTCATCACCCGTGCTGTAGACCACGACACAGATGAAGATGCAGCTTTATGGTCTGTGTTTTATCTTGACACGCGAAATATCAAGGATGGGTGGAAGGAAGCTCCTCGCCCGCAGGGCATTAAATCCTGCAATTACTGCTTCTTTCAGGCCAATGACAAGATTTATGCACTTGGAGTCTTTCGGGATCCCTTAGTTCCGGATCTCTCATTCGATTTAAAGTGTCTTGATTGCCATGAATTGCGTAGAGGCTGGCAGTCCTTATGTTCAATTAGTGATGAACTCTTAGAATGCAGGGTCGGCTTTTGCCTTTATGCATTCAAACTCGAATATGCAACTACCACTGAGCCTGCTGCTGGTGAAATGCGCCATGCTACACATGACGTGATTTTTTTATTGGGCAAACAAATTTCCTATGATATCGACAGCAATAGTTTTCATGTGTCTCCGTCTCACGCTGGGCACAAGTTTTATTGCGAAGGTGTTGGTGTTGGGGATTTGATTTACTTTTTGCGCGAGAATCAACCAAATGAAAGAGCGATGCTCATGGTCTACAATGACCGTCTCCACAAATGGTACCCAACTCCAGTTCTTGGCTTGAACCATCCTAATGCTTTGCTAGTGGGCTACAAACGATATACTGTTGTGGAATATCCCTCTGCAAAATTATTGCTCATAAGAGAAAGATGTCTGTGTATTCTTTGGGCTGATATTCACTATGATTCCACTCGAATTTACTGTACCAAATTTAATGTTCACGTGAAAGATGAGCAACCACGTGCTGTGAATGTTTCCACCCGAGTGCACAGAGTCAAGGGTTTTCATTGTGATGATCTAGAGGCCGTTTTTAGTAGCAGTGAGATGATACGACAATTCCTGGAAAGAGAAAGCTCACAGACTGGTACTCTCAGAGGGTAAAGCGCACAAAAGCAAGGTGTGCCTATGAATATATATATATATATATATATATATATATATATATATATATATATATGACAAAGAGGGGTTGGTACCCCTTAAATTTATGCACTTTTCTGTTTTAAAAATTGGTAATCAGGCTTTAAAGCTCGTACATTGTTTTCTTCTCTCGAAATTTTCCAAACGGCGTTAGATAGTACCCAGTACATCACTTGTTCATTGACTTCATTCATTTAAGGGCAATGCACCATTCATAAAGCTTTTCCAGATCTCACACTGATTTACTCCGTAACTTTTAGTGGGACTCTTCTATCTGCAGAACTATTTCTTATTTACGCAGGGTACATTATACTTTACCAGGTTTTGAGACGAGGTCCAATTCATTTTTTTTCTGATTTCTATTGAGTATGCTTTCATACTCAACGCCGTTCATCTATGCTTTACATCCTGATTCCTATTCTCATTTTGTCAGCCTAGTTTGGCTTAAATTTCTTGGCATATTTCAATATTTGGTGCACATGATATTCCAAAAGATTCCATTCGTGGTATATATGTAATTTGATAAATAAATTTCATGCACTTGATATTTCAGTTTTTCCTAGAATCAGCCTTCTTTGAGTATATTAGTCTATACTGTTAAGCGCCTTTCATACACTTAACAAAAATAGAAACTAAGGGATTTGCTCTTTTTATTAGAGGCGAGGTAATTTAAAATTTAGTGGAAGCTCAATTTTTAATGTTCTTTATTTCAATAAATTTGTCTATGTAGGCTGTTTGTTAGTGCTAAATGCCTAAATCGTGTTGCTTGATGTGTGTATTATACAGTTCATCAGAACCCATTATCGAATAATGTTTTAGTTTAGTAGCACTATTGAACTGTTAATTGATGAATCATGAAGTCTTTTGATGTTCAATGTATTAAAGAGATGTTATATCATGGTTAAACAAACAAGCTTTGAATTAAAATAATTCCAGAAAGCATGTGATGTTAGAGGAAAATAAGGTAGGGATATAATTTATATCGTAATATATTATGCATTTTTGTTAAACTTACTAGATGGGGGTCAGTTTTATTAGGAATATACTCGATGTATTAAGGCTCTATGACAAAAAAGGGTAATTTTCTCTATCTTAAATGTGAGGATAAATTATATCCTCATTTCTTTGATGCAAATATCATTAATAAGAAAAGAAGTGTATCTCAACTCATCTAGATTTGCAAAGAAGAAAATTTCTATAATGGTAATTTGATGAAAGGCATTTTACTAAGGTCAAAAGAATTTTAACATTACACTAAAAACCGTGCTAAGTCAAAATGAGAATTTTCAACTTAGACAGAAGAGGTATTAATTATATATTTATATGTAATGTTAAATTTACACACACACCCATATATAAATATAAAAATTTCCCAATCAAAATTATTTTTTTTCATATTTTGAACTAAATTACTTGTCATGTAACACACAAGTATGAGTTTTATATGTTTAAAAACAACTCATCTGCTCATATTTGTCTCTTGCATTTTATATTTTTAAGCTCGTTTCCTCGATTATTTGTTGAAGCTTAATCTTTTCTAGGCATATCCTTTAAAGCATATGTTGTAGTTTGGAGTCTTTAGACTTTCCATTTTATTTTTATTTTTATTTTGGTTTTTATTTTTAAAAAATATACAGCCTAGTTATCACTAAGCTAAACTATTGTGTCTTTAATGATGCATAAGGTGCATATTTGTTTTTTAAAGCCCTCATTTTTGAAGTCGATGATGTTAATGCAAATGTACCAACTTCTCTTATTTTGGTTTCTGGCATGTCAATTGAGCAATAATTTTCATAATGTACTTGCATCATATTTCCTCTCCTTAATGGCTTATTCATTATCCAAATTACTCATATAATGCAGAGTATATGATAATGACATGTAGTAGATGGAATATAAATGAGATGTCAATATGATATTATCCCACGTAGTAAGACGTGCACTAAAGAGTTTGTATAGTAATGATATTCAACATTACTCTATATAATATATGCATTGGATGGAAGTATGATACTATATCAGTGTACCATCATATATTATACCAAGTGTGACTTCTTTAAAGTGATTTCAGTTCCAAAATGCTCCGTAAAATTGAATACAACTTCATATTGATACAAGTTCTTGTTTTGTGAAACAAATTCCTCTTGTTTTTTCATTCCATTTGAAGAAAACGAACATTAATCCATCATTAGTTATATAAACACTAACAACCTTCACATAAATCATACTACTATTTCATGAAATGAACATATCGGGGATTATAATCCGCGCATTGCGCGGATAGACGCATGCCTAATTACAACCGACATTCTTCAGGGAACCCGTTCTATTACAACAGGGAGAGACGCAGATTCGCAACAAGAACAGATAGAAGACAAGGAAATCAATGAGTTATGAGGCTGTTCTCTGGAATCTATCAACAAAAGGAGATCTCACCAAGGGAGATGTAAGGAACCACTACTTGGGACCTAACGACGACGGCTCAAGTATTATCTCGGCTTCCATTGAGAGTAAGCAATTTCTTTTCAAAGTCATGGAGGGTCTCATCTACATCACTACTTGGGACCTAACCGCTTGTTTATGGCTTATTGAAAATCTTTGCTGCCAAAGAAAAGGATGGTTGATTATTAGGTTTGAGGGGGATTCCTCACTAAAGATTTTTTGGGATTCAAATCAATTTGGAGACTTTATCCGCCTCTCACACACTGGAGAAGGATCTCTTTCAAAAATCTTCATACCGGTGGGAATTTGTGATAAGGGAAAGGAGATTGAAGATAAGGAGATTTCTTTGAACATAGTGACTAAACAACCTACGATAGAGCACGACTATGGGGAGGAACAGATACTGGAGAGGCTAGAGAGGATAGAGGAAGGGGTTGGGATAGAACCGTCGAGGGAAACCATATCCTTCGATTTACTCAACCAATCCTAAATTCTATCATGGTATCGGAGCAGGTTTTGGCCTACCTCGTTTGTCAAGGTGTCCGTCTAGACGTTCATTCCTAGCGGCCCGTTAGTCTTTAGCCCAGTTGTCTGTATGGAGTATGTACTCAACAGCCTGTGGCTCGTTTAACACGATTGCTCGTCTGGAAGTCCATACCCAGCGGCTCGTGGTCCTTTAGGTGTTGGCGCTCAAAAAAAAGTCAAGAGAATGGGAGTTCATTTGCAAGGGTCAACCGGTTAGATTCAAAATGGCTCGGTTGTCCACTTGAGAGGGAGTGTTAAGAGTATCCCACATCGGAAAAGTGTGAGGAAAATAATCGGTATATAAATCGAGACGCAATGACCATCAGGAGTATCCCATTCGCCCTTGTGGGCCCTCGGGATGTCCCACTCGCCGTCATCGCTCTCAATCGAGACGCAATGACCATCAGGAGTGACCTGCGGATTCGTAGCTTGCGGGAGACGCGACGGCCCTGCGGCGTTAAGTGCGCCGGTCAATTTGACAGGGGCCATGGTGCTGACCAGCTGGGGCTGGAAAGGTGATGGCTGCGGCATCGGCGTCTGGAACGATGTCACCGCCATCGGAGCTTGTAGGGGCATGGTTCCCGCGCCTGGAAGGGCGAATGGGAACATACCAGGGAGGAAAGGCATCCCCTCGTTCTGCTGGCACATGGCCATGACCTGGCCAAAGCCCTGGATGGCTTGTAGGTTGGCTGGGTCATTCATGAATTGAGTCATGCTTGGTGGGAACGTGACCCTCGGTCCAGCGGAAGGGACGGGGGTCGCGAAGGGACTGATCACGCTGGCCGTCGGGACAGAGCTCAGACCCAGAGGCAACACCGGGGCTGAAATGACCGGTATGGTAGCAGCCACAGGGATGCTGGCGCCCTCATTGGTGGCTTGCACCTGAGCGGAAGTAGCGTTGATTTGTTGGCTGGAAGACATTTCGAGTGGTGTTTTGGTGGGTAGGTTTGTGTTTAGGAGAAAAAACCTTAACGGTCCCACGGTCGGCGCCAAAAATGATGGTGTAAATTACTTGACCGGTCAAACTATACTAGACCGGGTCTAGAATAGTTTGCTTGATTTGGCAAAGTAAGAAAGGTAAAAACATGCAGACTGACCGGTAGGACTTTAGGTGGAACACCTGTAGCCCAATTTATATTATAACGGAGAATGCACGGGTGCTTTTACAAGGGAGTTTAGAGAGAGTGAATTCGGATCCCTACTTCTGAGAGTTACAGCCGTATTTATACTAGGTTTGGGGGACAGGCCCACGTGCGCCCACGTGGAGGCACGTGTCTCGGATGTTGAGAGGTGATGGGCCTCGTCTCTTAGCTACCTTGTCGCCTTGTGAGGGGGATTATTCCCTTTGTCAGGTAGTGCCTTGGATGGATTCTTCAGCATCTCCAGTTGTCCTCTACTGACACGGGTCGCTACACGCCAAGCCCTCGTAGATTCTCCTCTGCCGACACTTTCCAACCCTAGAAACTNGGGAATGAATGGAGTGATAAGTAGTTTGACCGGTATACTTTTTCCCGAAGTACACCGGTCAAATTTGGACCGATCAAATACCCACTTGCTGACGATTAAAGTCTCCCTTTCCAGAATTTTCAAGATTGACCGGTCAACTATTTGGTCTTCTCCTTTGACCGGTCATGGGTGGAATACACCCACCAACAAGGATGAATGGAACCATGTAATAGTTTGACCGGTATACTTTTTTAAAGTATACCGGTCATCTTTTGACCGATTTGAGTGTCCTCTAGCGGATGATTAAAGTCCTTCTCCTTAACTTTCAAGATTGACCGGTCAACTATCTGGTCTCTTCATGGGTGGAATACACCCATCAGATTGGATTCAATCTTTTAATGTGGTCCAGTCCAAGTGTCTTATTACTCAATCCAGTTGTCCATATCCTATCCTAAATTCTATCACAATGGTGGACCAAATTCAGGAGACATTGACTGAGAAATTGCTATTAGACAAACTAAAACGGGGCCTTATCCATAATATGTCGGGGACGACAATTCGAGCAACACAGGAGACGATCAAAAGTATGGAAATAGTGAGACTAATATGTGTAGAGGGCTCTAAACACCCCATTTTTCATCTCATTCTCTGGAATGGATGAACAGTGGTTTGTGGAATTCCTTACGGGTAGTTGGGAACAACTAACTATATTTTGGCTATCTCCTAGCTGATGGTTTGCTAATCCTAGCCGGGTTTGCTCTTCTCTAGTTTGTTTCTTTGGAGCTTTGGTCATTGTTTTAGTCCTTTGGGTTCTATTTGGTTTCCTTCCATTTAAGACTTGCTTTCAATTCCAGCAGGGTCTTTTGATTTGGTTTCATTTACTTTCATTTCCTTTTTGGTTTCTTAGGACCTTAGGGTCTTTTGATTTGGTTGCCCAGGGCTTTGAATTTGGTATCTCCAGCAGTTTGTTTTTACGTTTGAGCAGTGGTGTGTTTGCAGCAGCTCAGAACCTTTTGTGGGGATACAGAACATCGCAGCTTTTGGCTTAGCTATTAGATGCTGGTTATGTACAAAGCTTTAAGGGATAAAGACAATAACTGGGTCATACACGGACAGGGTTGGGTTTGCATCCAGGACAAGGGCTGGGTCAACAGCTCTTTTGGCGTTCTTCTCTTGTAATTTTCCTTTTGGTGCACTTTGGCTCCTTTCTTTTGGCCGTTTTGTAGGGCTGGCAACCCCTCTTTTGTACTATTTTATTTTATTATTAACAAACCCCTTTTAATATATGTTAATTAAATATCATATTATTTATTGTGTTAATTAAAGTTGTCAAAATAAATTAGAAAGTTCCTTAAAGGTGAGATTGCTTAAAGGAAAATAAAGGTATTTGATTTCTTTCCTAAACATTAAAATGCATTTACCCATTAGGAATAAGAATGAGATTTGTGCTACTTATAAATATGAGATAATCCCTTCTCCTTTGGCTTATGCATCACACGCCACAAACAAAGAAAAGAAGAAAGAAAAATGTTTTTCTTCTCTCTTATCTTTTACTCCAAATATTTTATATTTTAAAAATATTCTAGAAAAAATTATTAGCATAATTTTTCTCTAAAACAATTTTCGTAGTTCGTGTGTACAAACTAGAGGTATATACTTTTTTGGGTAGCTCTTGGATCAATCTTATCTCATACATCATAACTTGCTCACTAAGAAAGGTATGATTTCTAACTGTAATTTATAATCTTCACAAGAGATCTTAGGTGGAAACGATGTTTAGACATTAAATTTTTGTTTTCCGCTGTCCTATTCAAGCGTGGTTTATTTACAACCCAAAACAAAATAAAATACTTCATCCAATATTCAATTGTTTGTTGATTTCTAGAATGACTACAAAATTCAGAAGGGGCTACAGACCCGGATGAGTGAGTGTTTTATTTTAGTATCAAACGAGAATAACCATATGAAACAATGTGTAAGAAAAAAAGGGTAATGTGTTTCTCCGTTAGAAAAAAGTGATTAAGAATAAAATATATCAAGAACTACCTTGTTATTTAAAAAAAATATACTTTGGTATTTAAAAGTTCAAAGTCAATTGCTTACTTTTGAAAAAATATAGATTGCTTACCAAAACATATGAAACAAAAAAGTATTTGATTAATGATAAAAGTGATTAAAATAATTTCTTTTACCAAAAAAATCAATTGGTTTAAAAAATTGGAAATTTATTTATTTTACACTTTGTGCCTTAGGAAATTCCGAGCATGAAATTCTTTAAGGGGGAACAGAAACGTAACGCCCTAAGATATATCATAAAATTTAATAATGAGCTTCTAATAAATCATAATTCTAATATTGATTTAAATTAAAAAACAGAAACATTAGTGCTAAAATAAGTGATTTTAAAGTTTCCATTTTATAATTAGAGGAGGGATGGTTTTCAAAGAAATCCAATTCAAAGTTATGCGAAATATTAGTCCCTGATCCCTCTTGGCTATAATTTGAAGCACAGACTAAGTTTGAATCATAAAAACCAGACATGTGGAGAAAAATTATAATCCTTGCTTTGGTTTTGAAAATCTGAGTGAGTATGGGGGTGTTCATTCAGATTGGATTCATAAAAATTAGAAGAATACTGCTTAGGAGGGACATACTCAAAATCTTGTTGAGTATTTGAGTGTTGGTTCAGGTTAGAATCAGAAAATTTATGTGAGCCAACACTCAAATATCTCCTTCCAACAGGCAAATTTCACTTTTACGCTCTTCCTTTTTCAATTCAGCAAAATTATCACAGATTTGGAAAGGTCTAAGAACATTAAATGCTCTATATCTTGGTCAGATTGTGACAGGGAAGAGTATTATTCACCACAGAATTTGATACCCAAGCACACAGAAGTTAAAAAAGGGCCATCAAACTAACCTCAGATGCTTCCAGGTTCACTTCTCAATTTGCATTTAAGAGCACAGAACTGAACAACAGTTTAACCCTCAGATTTCATTCAAAAGTTCAGAACTAACACAAAACATAAAAGAAAAGTCAAAACTATACAGAAAACTATCAGACAGAATTTAAAGGCTAAAAATAATGCTACAATGATATCACTAACAAAAACCTGAACAAAGGAAACAAACAGAGACCATTCCTACCACACACAAAAAGACAGATCATTTAAACAACCATAACAGATTTAAAAGAAACAAAACAGTCTAATAAAACCCTCGTTTCAACCAAAAGAGGAAGAAAGACTCAATAACTTATAAATCACTCATAGTAGACATTTTCTCACACACTAAGAGGGCATAATAACACTAGAATAGAAATGCCTAAATCTTAGAGCATGTCGCTCAAACTACCTCAAAAATAGGCTTCAAATTGGCTGGAGTAACGAAGAAATCAAACTAGCAAGTCATGTAGTGAACAGTCCCTGCACTATGGTTGACCTTTGATTTCACCAATTAATGCTTCCAATCTATTGAAATTTAGCACAAAGTAGTGTTCTCCATTGGAATACGATTCCAAAGAACGTAAAAATATCAAAAAACGACCAACAAAATCAAGGGGAATTGCAATGGGTAGATGTGTGGCACTATTCTTCTCGCGAGAACCACTAGCGTCTCGCTCCTAGAGAGAGAATTCCGATTGAGAGCTACAGGTTCAAGTGTTCAACCGACACATAAAAAGAAAAATAAAGGATGGATCTACATAGGTGACAATAGGATCTAAATTTTACCTGATGTTTAGAGGAGGGCTTCTAAAATGGAGAATGTTAGGGTGCCACCAACCACATGGGTGCATCCATGCTTCGCACAGACAAACACAGACGATAATTGTCTGTGCGACACAGACAATTATCGTCTGTGTTTGTCTGTGCGAAGTATGGGTGCACCCATGGTAGCACCCATGTGGTGGCACCCTAACATGACCCTTCTAAAATTTGGGAGGGAATCGTGAAATTTGGAGAGGGTTTTTGAAATTTGAAGAGATAATTCGGGTAAATTTCATCAATGATACTTGAACTTTAGCTGGAATTTCGGCGAAGTGTTCGTGGAATCTCGGCGACCCCCAAGGACCCCTTAATTGCAAGATTTGATGGCGGTTTGCAAAAACCCTCAATTTTGGATTTTAGGGTTTTTCGAGTGGAAAAATTCAAATTCGAGGAGTTGCAGGCCAAATTGGACAAAATGATTTGGATATTCTTGATCCTCATCTCAAGACGAAGAGAACGACGTTGGTCCTACCAGAATCTGACCAGGTTGAGTTTCCAGAGACTTTGACGTGGTGCGACGACAGCGGGTAGCGGAAGAAAAGAAAAAAAGAAATGGGGTCAAATTGAAAATTTTAAAATATATAAAATTTTAATTTGGCCCAAATGACCGAAAGTCAACATAGAAACGGGCAAATGGACTTTTAGTGAAAGGATTGTGTAAGTTCAGGGATTTTTGTGAAAGGATTTGAAGTTTAGTTACCACTTCGAAATTCCAGCTAAAGTTCAGGTACCATTGGTGAAATTTACCCTCTAAAATTTGAGGAGGGCTGTTGAAAATTTTAGGAAGGCATATGTTGTGAGTTCAAGCTCAAATAATATTTTTTGTAGCTTTTGAGTCTTTAATTTCTAGTTTCATTTTCATAATTTACTTTTTTAAACTATAAAATATATTAAATTGTGATATAAATTTAATATTAATACTTTTATTTTTTAATATGGTATTCAAATATTACATTTTTATAATATTAATCTATAAATAAATAAATTGATGGTCAAACATTTTTTATTCACACGGCTCCAATTCTTCCGAATAGTAATACTTTTCACCGAACAAGATGTTACAGCTACTAATAATTGAACTTATTACTCACACGGATCTAATTCCTCAAGATACTCATACTTTTGACCGTATAACATCTTATCGGTAGTGATAACTGAAATGATTACTTGCACAGATCTAATTCTTCTAAATACTCATATTTTTGACTATATAAGATTTGACATGTATTGATAACTGAACTTGTTACTCACACAGATTTAATTCATCAATATACTCATACTTTTGATCGTATAATATCTTACTGTATTGAGAAACGAACTGATTACTTGCACATATCCAATTCTTTTAAATACTCCTGCTTTTGACCATATAAGATCTTACACTTATTGATAGTTGAACTTGTTACTCGCACAGATCCAATTCCTCAAGATACTCTTCATGAGCTTGATCGTATAAGATATTACTGGTACTGATAATTGAATTTATTACTTGCACAAATCCAAATTTCTGAATACTCAAACGCTTGACCATATTAGATCTTAGAGTTATTGATAACTGAACTTGTTACTCGCACATATCTTACAAGTATTGATAATTGAACTTGTAACTCACATAGATCAAATTCCTCAAGATACTCATACTTGTTAGGATATAGGCCCAACGCTAGAGGGGGGTGAATAACGTTTAAAACAAAATCGCATGAAATTAAAAACGAGAACGATAAAGTAAAGAGCGTAAGGAAGGAGCACACCGAATTTTATCCTGGTTCACCACAACGTGTGGCTAATCCAGACTCTCTCGAGCTACACTAACTCCTTTAAGCTTAGGGGTGCTTAACAAACCGATACAACTTGAGAACCCGAGTCACACAAGCCTCAACGCCTTTGCTCGGAGATACCACGCTCCAAGACTTCTCACGAAGGAAAAAAAACTTCCTTCGAGTTTACAACAAGGGAACAACCTCCCTTAAAGTGTATAGAAACACTTAAACACTTAGGAATAAAACTCTCACAAAGAGTGGATATGAGTGAACTAGTAAACGCTCAAGAACACGACAATTTCTTCAAAAATTGGCTCTCAAATAGCTAAGAAAAATAAGAATGCTTATGCAATGAAAGAGTATTGAAATGTTGAAGAATTGTGTGTAAAATGAGAGGATTTGGGTGCCATTTTATAGCCTAAAATGGGATAAACCCGTTGCTAAAATTTCCAACAGGATCAGGACAAAATTTTCAGAGATGCAGGGTGATAGTTGATTGTCAAGGCTTGGTAATCGATTATCAAAAGATTCCCTGTCCAAAAATTTAAAATTCTATCCGTTGGAGGACAACGGTAACCCAGATAATCGATTGTCAACTAGTGACAGTCGACTATCACCCCTCTTAGAAGTTTCCGGGTTTAAGGTACAAACGCAGATAATCGAGTGACAAAACATGTTAGTCGATTATTGGATGGTTCTGAACTTAAGGTTCAGAACTGCAGCAGCCAATATTCGATTGTCATAAACTGACAGTCGATTATCAGCTAGTAAAAACCATCCAGCGAAAAACTTAACCCAAAAAGCCGAGGTCCAAAAACGAAGTGTTCCCAAAAGTAAAAACCAAGTTTGAAAAAACATTGTATATGGTATAAAATAGTGAAACCAAGACTTATTTGATAAAAACCAAGTCTTCAAGGTCGTTTATCATGTGTGTACGGTTTTGACCGTTTTTTACGTGTTAGACCGATCGACCAAAATACAAAAGTGGTTTTTTTTTTATAAAATAATTATTTTGGAACCTTTTAAATATGCACAGAGGTAAAAACGAGGTTTAAAAAATTGAAAAACACCGAGTTGGTTCGAACGCCGAAAACCGAACACCGAATGCCGGACGCCGATGTCGAACGAGGTGGTTTTTGGTCTGGGCAAGGACCAGGGATTTTAATACAATAAAACTTTATTAAAAACATTTATTTTGATGCACAAAAACGTTTTATGATTTTGTAAAATTATTTTGACTCTTTGAGAACCGAGACTTGATTCTATTGTCGGTTTTGATCACAATAAGACCGACTCGACTAAGTCTTCAATTCTTGATCTTTGTCCTTGAGTCTTTTGGTCTTGTTCCATGCCATTCTTCACGCCTTGAGTTGTTCAACGAAACTCTTCATATCCACGGTGGTTTGGCAATTATCAAAACCTGTCAGAAATGAACACGACTTTAGTTTAACGTAGTAAAAAGTGTGTTCCAACAATTTCCCCCTTTTTGATAGTGGCAAACAAGACGGGGACATGCATAGGGTTTTGATCTTTTTGAAAAGAAATTATCCCTTAATAAAAATTCCCCCTTAATATATGCATAGCCCTTATCTTCCCCCTTTTGACATTAACAAAAAGATTTAAAAACAAAAACCTTAAAGATTTTTATTTATTAAAATAAGGGAAAGCGCGGAGTACATAACGGAAGAATTAAAAAATAATCATAAAATAAATGAGAGAAGAGAAAAGAGCTAAAGCTCTAGAAATCCAAGGAGAGATCATCGAGGAGTTTGTCTTCGTCGATGTCTTCCTCTTCTTCTTCTTCTTCTTCTTCTTCTTCTTCTTTTTCTTTGGCTTCCTCTTCCTCTTCTTCTTCATCTTCATCGTTCACCCCTTCTTCTCCACCAGTGTTATTTGTCCCACTTGGTTCACCCCCGAAATTCGGTGGAGGAGCGTAGGGAACCATTTAATCATAAGGGTAGTTGACAAAGTCAAAATACCCGTGAAGCTCACAGCTCAAAATATTGACATTTTGGGCCGTTTTGGAGACGTTGGTGTCTATCCGAGAATGGGTGGCGGTCAAGGCTGCCATTTTCTCGGCTAGAGAGGGGTTGGTTGAAGCGGTTGCCCTTGGTTGGCGGCGTGGACGAGGCTGCGGGAACGTAGATTCATCAGTTCCCGGGTGGAAGGAAGACTCATCAATCTCCCAATGCTTCGTCCCTTTGCACTTTGGCCTGACGTCCGTCTTGATGTGGAACTCATCAAGGATCGTCCGGACAAAAAGAGCATAGGGGAGCAGCTGGTTGTCGGAGGTAGCGTTGAATATGTGGGTTAGCACAAATTTACACCAATTGATGTTGGCGTTGTGAATCATCGCATGGAGCGTCTTCGTGTCCTCTTGGGAGAGAGCGGTGTGATTGAACTTGTTGGACATGAGTTCAAACCCCTTTATTATTTTCTCTGGAATATTTTTGTTTTGATAAATGACAAACAGGATGATGAAATTCGAACGATGATCGAAAATTTACTTTTCGTATCGAGAAAAGAAAAGAGACGTATCAAGAAAGTTACGGGATAAAAATCAACGGTCCCCCAACGCAATTTTTTTGAAGTGATGTGAAGACTCCGAAGACTTTTTAATTTTTATTGAGTCTAGGATTTTTGTAAGGATGACAATATCTTTTGCACAAAACAATTGAATTTCTGAGGGATAAAAATTATTTTTGAGTCAGTTGAAAAATCATTTTTTCTCTGTCTAAAATATTTTAGTGAGTCAATCTCAAAATAAGTGTGTCAAAATTTCTTTAAACATTTTCTTAAAGTTACACAATTTTCTTTGGTGAGAAAATATATTTTAAATATTTTTTCGTGTATTGTTTGACACACAAAATAATTTTTGGACTCTCTTTTTCTCTCCCCTACTCAAATTAATTGAATAAGGGAGATTTAATCGTAGGAGCGTTTCTTATTCTCGTTGTCTCAAACAACGAGTTAGAAGCCAAAGTGCTTCCAATCGCACTTGGCTTGGGCCCTTTGTGTTTGCGCATTATTTTCAT